CATGCAGTATCTCACATGGCACTTGGCACTTTGTCAGTGTTCAAGAAATAAATATCCCTTCCTCTTTCCTACTGTTTCAGAGTCTCTATTATATTAATATTTTTGTTGTTTAACTGCGCCCCCTAAAAGTGTAGTTTGCATGTCTGAAATGACCAGAAATTCTAAATAAAGTTCATCAGAAATCAATCAAAAAGGATCTGCTGAGATGAAATTAACAGGTGCCCAGCTGTTCATCAGGGCCTTGGGTAATTCCAGTTGGGCCTGGGCCTCTGCCATGGAGGGTAAGGATGCTCCCCTGTTGATAAACACCCTGTCTCATCTCCACCCTGCTGCAGCGTTCTGCTTCTTGGAGCCGCTCAGTGCTTATCAGAGTAAGGTACAATGAATGAGCGCGATTTATTTCCCAATTGTATTTACAATTTGAACGAAAACCCGAGGAAAGGCAGTAGTTCACTCAGAGGAGCGAACACACAACAGATGGTGAAAGTCTAGGCATCGTGGGCCCGAGAATTCTCTAAGAAGTCCACCTGCCCCTCCCGCTCTACCCACCTGTGGGTTGGCCCGGGATGAAAGTGATGATGCATGGTCGTTTGGCACTTCCATCCCCCACCAGCCCCAGGGCGTGCTGGCCAAGAGCAGCTTGCAGGCACCCACGGGCATCTGGGCTCCCACTTGGCCGGCTCTATGCTGCTCTCCATGTATTTCCTTTCTTCGTCTTCCTCCCTCTTCCATGTGCTCAAACTTCCCCAAAGTATAAAATATTGATGTTTCTGCCTCCCTGAAATTCATATGTCGAAGCCTAACACGAAATACGATAGCACTAGGAAGTGCGGATTTGGGAGGATGATGGGGTCATGAGGGTGGGGTGCTCCCGAACAGGATTAGTGCCCTTGTAGGAGACCCCATGGTGCTCCCTGACCTTTCTACCAAGCAAAGACACAGCAGGAAGACAGCTGCCCACGCAACCAGGAAGAGGGGCCTCCAGACACCCAGAAGTCCAGTCTTGGACTTCTCAACCTTCAGAACTCTCAGAGGAAAGTTTCTGTCATTTGTAAGCCACCCCACCTCTGCCATTGTGTTTTAGCAGCCCAAGAAGACTAAGACATGGATGCACCTTGGGAGTAGGTTTGCTTAATTAGAGAAGGGACATAAAAAGGTACCCGAGTTGAACTCTGGACTCTGAGTCCAAAAGCCCAATTATGCCAAGAAGTTGAAAGTTCATAGTTGGGCATAGTGGTATGAATCTGCAATTCCAGCATTCTGGGAGGCCGAGGCAGGAGAATCAACTTTGAGACCAGCCTGGGCAACTTAGTGAGATCCTGTCTCAACATTAAAAAAAAAGAGAGAGAAAGAAAAGAAAGAAAGAAAAAGAAAAAGGGCTGAGGATATAGCTCAGTGTGAAAGTCCTGGGTTCAAATCCCAAGTAGTAAAAAAAAGTTGAAATTTCATAGACAGATGAGCTTGTGGATTTGTAGCCTATTTTGTTTAAAGCTTTATTGTCAGAAAAGCTAAAATCCCATTTTAAATGGAGAAAAGAGAAAGTGAGACAAATCTCTGGCGACCTGATATAAAATATTTGGTCAATCAAAGACCACAGTGGGGTCTCCCCGGGAGGCACTGACAGCCCCCCGGCGTGGCTGTGCTGCAGGGTAGTGGGGACCCCTCGACCCAGCACTGACCACTGCACACCTGTCTGAATGGGCCCAAGTGGAGTGCCTGGCCCTGGCCCCTTCCAGTTTGAAGCGTTATATTAACACCCAAGCCTTTGTATTAGCTCCTAGTCTGCAAAACAGCATGAACTCTAATCTGCTGCATTGTAATGAGTTGTTCAGAACTGACAGCCATCTAGAGATGAACAGACCTTTAGTGCTGTTTTTCAGTCTTGGGGATGAAGTCCTGAGTGAATTGAGCACTGCTGTAAGGAGAAAGGATTGGAGTGTTTCAAGTCAGAAAGAGACTTATTTCAGGTTGTTAATAGAAGCCTGTTCATGCAGAGGCACAAACCCAATCTTCCCAGAAGGTAAACGGATGCTCTGAAAGGCCCAGGGCTGTCAAGAGGCTGGGTCACAGCTACAGCCTGGCTCCTCACATAGCACAGCGCAAAGGAAACTTCAGGCTGGATGGTAACAGGGAAATGAGGAAGCATTTAATCCATTCATTAAAGGAAGGAAGGAAGGCAGGAAGAAGAGAGGAGAGGGAGAGGGCCGGAGGGAGGGATTAGCTCACTCTTCCCAGACAGAGTCATCAGAGTCCAAGTGGGAACCAAATGGCGGGGGCAGGAAAGAAATGGGAGGCCCCGCAGGGGGCACAAGTTCAGAATTCGCCTACTGGAATGAGTGTGGTCTGGAATCATCACAGCTCTTCAGCCAGAAGTGAGCTTAGAAAGGGGCTTCCCGTTCCCCACCAAGTGCCCTATCCTGACTGCAACGCAATGTTCTCCAGATGATGGGGCTGCCACCTATGAGTGGCTTATGAAGTCAGTTTGGTGGTTTGCAATGAGCCTTTCCAAACAAAAGGAGGAAAACAGAACAAAATGCACCATGCAGAGGCTGCCAGGTATGATGTGCAGGCCACGCACACCGCACACTCCAGGGATGTGTTATTTACATCGCAGACCGCTGTGCCCAGCACACCTAGTTTTTTCTTTGGAACTTCCTTCCTGGTTTGGCAATGCCCCATTGTGTGGCCCATGATGGCAGCAGGGTTCTTTGTCCTTTCTAGAACCCCAGATGAGAAAGCATCGTATCTCCCCTTTCCTGGAGTAAGAGACTGTCGACTGAAGCTAGCTGGGAGTTCGAACCACGTACTTCAGATCTGAACATGGTGCAGGTGGGGTCCAAGGCAGTTCGGGATTATTCGTGCTGGCAGGATGGAGGCGAGCAAGGGGCCCACAAATCAAATAAGGGAGGGGCCAGGGTCTGCTAAGGGAGGCTGCACCTCTGATTCGCCCAGGCCCCACCTCCTTCGGATGTACCTGTTTTCTGACGCTGTAGGTCATTCTGTGTATTTCCAACAACTTGCTTATTTGTGTAAGTTTTCTGGAGTCAGCTTTTATTGCCTGTAATCAGGGACTCCAACCAAAATACACATATTTTCTTGGAGAGCTGAACTTTGGATATAATTCACCCACGTCCGTATCCTACATTCTCAAACCATCAAAATATAATGAAACAAATGAATAAGTAAAGAAATCAGTGAAAGAGAAAATGGTATTCCTTCAAGATATTTTTAATGCACTATTTAACAAACATTGTTTTGGGACAGGAAAAAGAAAAGAAGCAAGTATTTCCTGACTGCAGCAGATGACCAAATTAATCATGGCAGATGTTTCAAAACCACAACTGTTCTGTGATTTTCCCGATGCCCTACTTTGGCTTTTATGAACTAGTGCTCATTAGCATTCGACACTCTTTTGCCACATTTACTGTTTATTTAGGGTCAGCAGCAATCGAAGCCACATGCAGAAGATGTGCAGAATGCAACCCATCGATCCTTCCACGCATCCCAGGCCCTCTGCACAGTGAGTTTCGCTGGCTTTGTCTCTGCTAGAGTAAGAGTCCAGTGCTTTCCCATCATGCTTTTATGTCATTTTATTAAGATGGATCGAAGACAAAAAGAGCAATTGATAAGATCATTTCAACAGAGAACTTAGGACTTTTAGATGGTTAAAGGTGGCACTCCGATGGGCCATAACTCCCTTCAGCCACTTCTTCAATAGGCTTGTGTTTATATTTTGCATTTTACCTGAGGAGAAAAACAGCTCATTTCTTGTACTTAGGAAGTGGTTTCGGCAGCTGGAAAGACCTCAGTCACTGAGTGTGAAGCAGTCACGGCAGGGGCGTTACCTAACAACACGCACCCGAGGCCACCCGCTGCCAGGAGGGGCCACCCAGAAACCACACAGCACCCTGGCAGCAGTCTGCCCGAATCATGACGGAAAGCCAAGGAAATCACACTCTCTGGTCTTCTGCATCGAACTGTTTCCCATAAACCCATTGTGATAACAGTTTTCAGGTGGATACGGAAGGTCCCCAAACTCCCAGAGGTTCAGCTGATTTCTTGTTTCCCCGCAGTGGTGTGATTTTCCGCTTTTCTCTTTGCTTTATTGCCTCATGTGGGCAGGCCTCCCTCCCTCCCGGGCTTCTGGCAGGGCCTTTGTCTTCTGCTCACCTCAGGTAGCCCGGAGCTCAGGCTGCAGCCCTCCGGCCAGTTCTGTCTGGTGTTTGTGGCTCTGGATTCTTCTCTCCCCAGGGCTGGATGCGAACACCCCCATGGGGCTATTTGCACTGGTGTCCGGTGGAGCCTCCTACACACACACACACACACACACACACGCACACGCACACGCGCGCGCACGCACCTGTGCACACATGCCTCCCTCTGCTCCCTCTGGCGGCCCCAGCTCTGAGGGCTCCACAGGGCTCACTCGCCCAAGCGGCTTGGGTGGAGCTCCCTTCCCCTGCCTGGGCTCCACCACCCCAGGCCAGTGTGAGAGCCCTTCCTCTTGCTGTCTTGGGGGCCAGACCTTTGGAGCTCACACCCTGGTCCCCAGAGGACTTTCTTCAGAGAATTCAGGCTGGTCTTTATGAGAGCCGAGAGTCTGTGTGCCTTTGGTCCCCACATCTGCAGCTCCTCGGTGTGTGATCTAGGTTTGGCTCATGATTCCTGGGACATCCGCTCACTTCCTGGCTCTTGACCCCTCTACAAAGTCAGCTGAGAACAGTGATCCTAAGGTCACGGCTGTGTGGCGATGCCCTGAGAGCCACGGAAATCCCTGCGTCCGAGGAGTGTGGTCCCCGAGGTCCCGCTGCCATCGGCCACCACACTGCAGCCACACTGGCTCTGTATCAGCCATTCAAATATTGCAAACTTTCACCCATTTCCCATAAAAACGCAGCTCCCTGCCAGCATTTCCAGTTAATCCTACACAGACACTTGCTCTGAGGCTGAAGCCAATCTGATTGCTTTGCAGCATGAAAATACACAGAAGGTTCTCGGAAAACTAAACAAACCTGTCCTGGATCCTGATGTGCCAGAAATGCACCTGCCAAGCAGCACTTCATGGTTTGCCCTGAGGTACATTTCAAAGGGCAGAGCAGCACGACTGGGGACGTTGCAGTCTGCAGAAATGCCGACACCTGGCACTTGCTTTGTCGTCCCTGCCACTGTGCAGGCTGCAAACTTGGTGGCGATCAGTTGGATTAAAAAAATGGTAACAAAAGCGGGATATTTTGCGGAGAAATTTGGGGTAAGGTTAGGGCTGTGATCCACCAGTTATCTTAGGGAAAAAGTCGCAGGCATGAGGACTGCTGACAAGGATTTTCAGGGCGAATGGGAAGCGTTAACAATGAAGTTATTCTTTGTTTTTTCTTCCGTTTTGGGGATTGAACCCAGGCCTTTGCACTGAGATACATCCCCAGTCCTTTTTAAACTTTCTTTTCAGAAATACGGTCTTGCTAAGTTGCCCAGGCTGGACTCAGAATGCTATTCTGTCTCAGCTTCCTAGAGTGCTGGGATTACAGGTGAGCACTACCACACCGGGTTTGAATTGTTCTTTATGTTTGTTTTTTTTTAACTAACTAACTAACTGAAAACAACTGTTCACTCAATTACTCTCCTCAATTTTCTACAGTGCAGAGATGACTAATTTCAACAGTTTTAACTGATTCTTTGGGTGATATTCACTTCATCACTAAGTAACATGCGTGCATGGCTACTTTTTCCTTTTCCCACTTTAGGCATGAGCTGTGGAGTTCCAAATGTGACGATGAAGATTTAGTTCCTGCTCACTCCCAGCCCCCACCACATTCATGGACACCTCCTGTCTCCTATCTTCCAACATAAATTATACTGAAGTTAGATTCATGTTCGCTGTTTACATTATTAATTATCATTGCTTAGAGCTGAATCATGCAGTAAACTAGACTTTTCCTCTCCAAAGTTAAGTATGCCTTGTTTTGTTTTGTTTTATCATGCTGGGGATTGAACTCAGAGCCTTATACATGCAGGGCAAGGGCTCTACTCCTGAGCTACACCCCAGGCTCACCATTGCCTTTTGGGGGTCTTCTGCTCTACACATGTATCAGCAGCTGCACTAAGTCCTCACCCATGCTAGTACTGCTCAGTACAATCAAATACACTGGGATTTCAATACACTGTCTTCTAAAGAAATGTGTTTGGGAGACTCACTGCCTAAGTTGGAGTTGTGTCACTTTGAGTCTTCCAGGAGTAGACAGCCCAAAGGGCAAGAGAGTGAGTGATTGGGGGAACACCTCTGAAAAGATGGGGGAAGGAGGAGGCACTGGCAGGAGGATTCAGCTCCAACCTGGGCAGCGACAGGGGAGGGCAGGGGACTGAGCAGGAGCAGCCCGGTCTGAGTGACCTCACTGGAGAAACCTTGTAGCGGGCACGGGGGGCCAGGCCTGGTGAGCTGGCCTTGGCCTGAGCTGGGGTGGAGGCCAGCACGGGCCCTCTCCTCCTTCCAGGTTCTGTGCTGCAGGGTGAGCTGAGCCATGCATCCCAAGGCTCACAGGCTAAGGAGCCCCGGCTTCCGGACAACTTCCGCCTCCTCCATGGAGGAGCTCCAGGGAGCCACTTAGACCACCACAGCGTCTACGCTGCTTCCTGCCACCCTCTCCGGGGGGGATTTCTCCATGGCTTCCCCAGAAAGAAGGTCCCCTTGCCTCTCAAAACTGTCTTTACTCCACTCTATGTTTAATTGGTGGTTGGCTGAGGATGGGAGTCTCAAAACAATTTTCCTTCAAAATGTGCAGGTGCTCTATTCCCTTCCGTCTTCTCGAGTGGTTCTCGATAACTGTAAAGTCAGACAAAGATGCTTGATGCTTGACTCTGGTGTTCTGAAATTTCATGGTAATGAGAATTAGCAAAATAGTCTGAATATCTTGGGACTCCTACTCTGAACACTCATGTTCATATTTGAGAATTTTATATGCACAATTTCTTTAATGTTGTTGTCCCATCCATTTTTAAAAAACTTTTTTTGGTACGGGGTATCAGACCCACGACCTTGTGCTTGCAAGGCAGATGGCAGAACCACTGAGCTAAATCCCTGGCCCTTCCCATCCATTTTCTCAGGTCATTTCTCTTGGACCCTGATTCAATCCCACAATTTTCTTATTTGTGAGTATGTTTAACCTTCTACTTTTCCTTCTTTTTTTGTTTCCACTGTAATTTCTGAGATTTTTTTTTTTCATTTGTAATTCCAAAGTCTCTCAGAGATTTTTTTTTAAACAGTTCTGTTCTATTTTAATGTTAAAACACATAGCTATTCTCAGGAAAACCTCTTGTAAACATTTCACATTTCATGGACAGAATATCCTAGTGTTTTTTTCAGAGGAAATCAATGATAGTTAAAAACACCCTTTTCTTCTCTTTTTCCTTTACTTTTATTCTTCCTGGCTACTTTGCTTTGATCTCCATTTTTGTGTTACCAGGCTCCTCCGAGGACCGTGCTGGGTGCATGGGCATGGCCGTAGGGAGACCTGGGTGTGCTGTGCTGTGCTGTGGGAAAACTCAGCGACGTCTGGAGTTTTGTGTCTTCTCGTCATCTTTCCTTTTGGAGTGGATTTTAGGGTTCCTGGTCCTTGGTGGAACCCTGGCTACTGGCGCAGTGAGGACCAAGTGTGGCTGAGCCATCAGCACTAGGAGGCAGTGCCCAGCCCTGCTGTCCTCTGAACTCAGCCCTGCCCTTCGCCTCTGTGCTGCTCTCCACAGGGAATGGCCCCCAGCAGGGCGGAAGGGTCGAGCCAAGCGTGGGTGCACTGAGTGTCTTGAGGGACACGTAAGCATACCTTTAGTCAAATCTTTAGTTGCTGCCTCTTCCAGAGGTCCCTGGATGCCATTTCCACAGCCTTGGGCTGTCTGCTGTTAATGTCAGGGCCTTCTCGGCTTCCCCCTACTGCCTTACTTAATTTTCTTGGATGTGCTAAGTCAGTTACCATGAATCTTTCCAGTTCTCCAATTTCTGCCCCCCCTTTCCTTTTTTTCCTTTTGCCAAACTCTGCAGGTTTTCATGAGCGCGTGGAGGCTAATGTACATGTGCACTCACTACACTAAGCTGCAAGTCAGCCATGATGTACTCTCATAGCACACTGAGTCTCTCTTCTCTAATAATGTAAATTCACTTCTAATTTCTCTTAAATCTAAAACAGATCCTTATACAGTAAAATTGGTATTCATATTTGCTATGAATCTCACTTTGGGAATAATGAAGGCAGAGCCACTGCACGGTGCCGCCAGAATGTGCTGCGGGCCTCAGAGCTCTGTCTATAAATGACTACGCGTTATACTGAGCAAATAATCACTCTTAACAATTTAATATGTAGCCTGGAATCTTTCTTAACATCTATGGAAAAGAAAAAATTCCATATTCATGTGCTATCTGTTCTCGTTTCTACTTTTTTTTGGTACTGGGGATTGAACTCGGGACCTTGCACTTGCGAGGCAGGTGCTGGAACCACTGAGCTAAATCCCCGGCCCCCCGTGTTTCTCTTCTTAAGCAAAGATCAGAACACTGTCACCATCTCACTACCCTCTCTCCCCAGAAATAAGACCCAGCTGGAGAATAATCAGCCTTGAAAACTAGAGAGCAAACATCCCAGGCCCCATCAGCCGGTCCTTGCCTTCCCTGCCTCACAGAGCAGCCACTGAGCAAGACAGCAGTGAAGCCAGGGGAGGCGAGGACGGGCTGATGGGGCTGGTGTGTTTGCTTGCTAGTTTTCAAGGCCGGTTATTTTCCAGCAGGGTCTTACTTTGGAGGGAATGGTGTGTGCGGCGTCGGGCCTCCTGGATCTACAGAGTACACAGCCTGGTGTGGACTGGCGTTGCTTTGGTGAGGAGCGGGTTTCGAGTGGGAGAGACAAGGCTCTGAAAGCTGACTTAGAGCCAGGCGTGGTAGTAAGTGGGTGTAATCCCAGCACTTTGGGATGCTGAGGCCGGAGGACTGCAAATTCAAGCCCAGGCTGGGCAATTTATAGACTTGGTGAGATCCTGTCTCAAAGTAAAAAATAAAAAACAGCTAGGATACAGCTCATGAAGGTAGTTCAGTCCTTACTGCAAAGTAAGGTATCAGTCTGTCAATCTGCCTGGCTTTGTTTGACAAACACTCAGAAAGCTGACTGGATCTTTAGCTTTTATTTTAAATCATAATGCTTAACTTTAAAAAAATTTGTTTAGGTAAGTTTGCCATGAATGAGTTACTAGACTATATTAAACCTCAAATATTGACTTTAAGATGTGCTTGCAGATGTTTGATTGTGTAGAAATGTATTGTAAGTCTTCATACAAAGGCAATTCAAGGAAGCAGTTGCCCAAAAGCATAAACAAAATTAACATTTTACCCGATGACTAGAGAGATTAATCATACATCGTTTCTCAGGGTGCAGAAAATGTTTTTATTAAAGGATGACCTTGATGTTTTGATAGAAATCTCAAAACTTAAGATGCAAGGAAAAGGATGGATGATTTTGTAGGTGTGTAAGGCACGAAGGCAGTGAAGCGTCGGTCCAGCCCTCCTTCCTTCTGCTCTGGCAGAATGGTGTAGGAGACACGTAGAGCAGCAAGGAACAGCGTTGGTGAATATTTTCCTTGGAAATAGAAGAAATGTAATTTTAGGCCTTGCATTCCCCCACTCCATCTTTGGGATGCCTTTATTGCATTTTCTTCTCCCTCTTAAGGAAGCTGCTCAGAAAGACTCTCTGTGTCTGATTTTGGGTTACATCTCAAACATCCAGACAGACCCATTCCTACTGGGTATGATGTCAGTGGTGAGGGCTAAGCTGGATGTGAGTGGCCTTTAGTCAATCAGAATTTCGTACAATCTCTCTCATTTTCTCTGCAGAACAGTACGCGTTCCCAGGGGTGAAATGTACTACGAAAGTCCACTGAATTTGCTAGTAAAATAACATGACATGGGGGCTAAGAATCCTGGTATGATCTTTGGCAACAGAGTCCTTTTCAGGGGGTCCTTGAGTCCTTACACTATTTAGTCTCCTTACGGAAAAACTGCTTGCTTTTCTTGATGAATAGGACAACACAAGTGGCGTTTGTACGTTGTGTTTTATGTTTGCAGGCACTTGCAGTGATAACGACACTTACAGCCTACGCGGGAAAGAATGCTGATCTTGAAGTCAGTTTGAGACTGACCTCTTACAAGCAGAAGTCTGAGAAGTTTGGCGGACCATTCACACCTGAGCTTCTTCCTCTGCAAAGCGGGCAGGGCCCTAACTGGGAGAGCTATCAGGAGATGCAGGGTGCTGTGCACAGTGCAATCACTACTCATACCCTCGTGGCTATTTTGAACATAGCAGGTGCTCAATGCTGAGCTGGTTCCACAAGCTAGAAGTTACCTTCCAGCTCCAATCTATCTCACTGCTGTTGACAGGGTGCCCATTGTAGACATTTACCTTCTTGTTGGAGATAGATTGCTGAGGTTTGGGACTTGCTCTGTCACTAACTACATGGTGACGCAGGACAAGTCAAAGTGTGTAAGAGGGAAGTAGTAACGCATGGGTTTCTAATGTTCAGCTTAACTTGAAAACACAAGTTTAAAAATTCCACTGAATTTGGTGATAAATGATATGATATGGGGGATTTACCTCAAAATCACCAGAGGGGTGGGATGGGGGAGTGAGTGGGTTTAGATGAAATGAGATTGTCCACAGCCTTGACACTGCCGAGATGAGGGGCTGGTGTGGGGTGTGTGCGGGTCCCTCTGCCTGCGTGCACATGTGGTGTGTGGACACCTGCAGAACCAAAGACGGAACCCGAGGCCTCACGCTTGCTAGGCACATCTCCACGACTGAGTGACACTCCCAACCCATACTTCCCTATATTTTTGGAATTCCCGTAATAAAATGTTAGAAAAACATCAGCAAATAAAAGATTTCTTCAAAGGAATTCAGGATGCAGCAATTTGGAAATTAGTAACTGAAATCCCACTGGACGTGTTGGTGCCTCAGTTTTTTGCTTTGGTGTTTTCTTAAGTAAAGGAAAAGTCCCTGGTTACTTGCACCAAGTGGGGGAATCTCGCACACAGCTGCCCGAGGGCAGCTGCTGGCTGACTCACTCACCCATCTGCTGGCGAGGCTGCCTCTGGTGGGCAGGGTATTCCCCATCCCCTCCTGGCTGCGTGACTCAGGCTTGAAATCAGTTTCGCATTTAACCACTGTGTGCATTCATTATCAGAGCTGGAACCCCAAGGCTGGCTGCCCGGAGGAGAGGCTATTTTATATTTTACCTCTCCATAAAGGTCAAGACTTTCCTGCAGAAGACATGCTTTCCCTGGAAGCCTCGTGTGGTGTCACCTCAGATGTGTCCTTAAGAGGGACATTTCCTAAAAAGTACTCACAGTCCTTTCATGACATTCACTTTAGGGAGGAGAAAATAGCTGAGACCGTAAGACGAATTGTTCACTTAGTTAAAGAAGATACATACCTTTGGCTATCAGGACGTCACCCTGACCTGGGTGATACACACTGTGTCGCTCCGCCTCTGGCTCCATGGGTGTTCAGGAGAGGACACAGCCTGTCCCCTGGCCCTCAGCAGAAGCTAGCAAGCGGAGAGGAACTGTCTCCTGACCCCCAGCCCAGGCTTCCTGATTTTCAGGTTGAGGAGGCCAGGGAGACTCTCAGGCTGCGTTATGCATGTTTAGCGGTCAGGATCATCCGCAGGCCCACTCCCAGCCACGTGTTCCAGCAGGCCATCTTGCGTGCTCCATGTCAATGTGCCCCTTTGCCCTCTGACTTCTAGGAAGCTATGGCCAATGGAGAAGACTGTGACAGAGATGGGAGAGAAGAACCAGTGGTCAGGAGAGTAACTGCCTTAGCTTCCTCCTTGTGGGTCATGGAGCTGCAGGAGACCAGCTGGAGGCCATACCGAGCAGGCCTTAGATAATAGCGATTCGGCTCATAATTCGGCTAGTCATTAAAATCACTCCAAGGCATCACTGTGAATTGCTAATTGACCTCAGCCCATGTTTGGAGACAGAGTTCCCTATGCCAACATCGCAACTGAGGTCTCACTGATCAACGAGGCAGTGACGTCTCTACAGCAAGGAAACGCTGCAGCTGAGGAATTAAGACTCTGCAGCCATTCTCCCAGATCAAACTGGCTGAGATAATGCAGGAGGCTCATCAGCTACGACCTGCAAGATAGCACAGGTGGCTCATTAACTGCAAGCCGTCCTTTACCAGAATACATAGTCACTGCCCTTTTACAGCCTGCCTGGCTCATTAGTGCATCACTTCTGCTATTCCTTACACCTGGCTTCACTCCCCCTTGCTATGTTATATAATCATAAGTGCTGACTAATCCAGAGCTTGTGGTCTTAGCCAGGACAGAGATAAGATCAGGTGGTCTTTAGCCAGGAGTGAACTAAAGATTAATTCCTGGCCCCCAAGTAATAAACTATCATTAGTTCTTTACTCTTTGTTTCTCGTTCTTTGCATATTATTCCTTCATCCCCTGCTGTCACCTCATTGGTGACTGGGCATCCCCTGGTGACTGGCCAGGCTGTCAGTACGACAGGTCTCTCTGTGTGCAGGTTCTTGACACCGTTCCTTCCTTGATGGTTTTGGACCTCTGAGTAAGTAATGTTGTCCCTTGTCACCAGCCAAGTTCTGCCTTGTAGCCAATGGATCGATTCCCAGCCCCACGCCCTTGACCTGTGGCCCACAGCTTCTTTCCAGAATTTCCCTTGGTGTAGTGGGAGCTGCCTCTCCTGGGAGCTTACACCCACTGCAGGTCCCTGGAGTAGCCCTCAGCCAGTGATTGGCGAATGGTGCTTCCCAAGGCCAACTCCCTTGGCTCTGTGTGCTGATCCTGCGGTGCAGTTGTGCTCTGGAGCCCCTGAGGGGGTCCCCTGGACTCCAGCTGAGATCACATCCGTGTTTAGTCCCATCCCCATCCCATCCTGCTTCCCTTCTTCTCTTCTTCTTGAAAGTATAAATCCCTGCCTTGGGTGGGCTCTGCTTTAGGGAACCAGACCTGAGCCCGTTCTGCAGGACCAGATGCTAAGGAGGGAGTCGGGATCAGTCTATGCATCAGGCAGCTGGCCATGGTGATTCTGCTATTGGTGGTAGCTTTGGCACAGCGGGTTCCTGGTGTGCAGAGTTCAGCAGTTACAGTGCTTTCCACCCTTGTTACCTGGGAATGGAATACGGATGGAGACAGATGCAGTGCTTAGACCACATCTCACAGGTTGTGGAACACACTGCAGACCGTAGTAACGGAAGGCTGGTGGCCTTGCGAGGCTGTGAGAGACGGAAGAGACTGCCAGGCTCAGAGCTATTGATCGCCAATCCAGCAAAGTGTGGAAGGAGCAGGGTTTCCTTGTAGGCGCCGATTCTACTTCCTCCAAAGTTGAGGACCTCCCAACCTGAGGTCTAGGCTCGGGGACACGGGTAGGAGAGCAGAGTGGAGAAAAGTCTGCAGTCTCAGCTCTGAAAGCCTCTCAGGTCGAGTCAGAGCCTGACAGGGCAAAGGCGGACTCTTGGAGCCTGGGTGGGGATCTGGGGGTGTTTGTGTTGAAAACTACAAATACTCAAACTCCCTTACATTTCTACAGCCAGGAGAGCAGCCCATTCCCTGTGTAATCGCCCCTCCTCTCATTGGCAGACTACACAGGAGCCTTAAGTGGGGCACTCACTTTGTGAGGTAGTGCTTATCTTCCTCAGTCATGCCCTCGTGTTCCCTCCTCACCACCGGGGCACTCAGTGGGGGTGAGGCCGGGAGGATCATACGTGGGAGGGGCTGCAAGACCTGAGTCCTGGCGGGAACCTGAATCATGCAGCTGGGAGTGGAGCTTGCGGGTGCCGTGTCAGGGGGACCCTCGTCTTTGGAGAGATCTTCCACTGCACAGGACCCACCCTGCCAGGGGCCCCGGGAACCAGGCCTTGGAGGGATGGCTCTGCAGATGTGGAGGAAATGATGGATCATCTACCTGGAGCGGAGGTGCTAAAGCTTCCGTGGCAGACTGTGCAGGGAGGATCTAAGGGTCAGCGAGGCGAGCCTGCTGCAGTGGATCCTGTATAAGATCAAGAAAGCTACCGGCTGCATTTGCCTGGGGAGGCCCCACAGGACACCTACTGACCACGCCATGAGGACTGTGTGGTTAGGGAGCAGCAGCACGATGAGGAGTGTGGTGGGGATCATGTCTGGGAGACAGGTTACTGCTCTGTAGTTGGGATTCCCCACTGCAAAGGTGCTGGCAGGTGGACACACGTAACCCTCACAACCCAGGCTGGGGAATGACCCTCATGGGCAGCAGAGCTGGATGAGCAGCCGGGGGAACCTCATCCACAGTGGTCTACAGAAATGCCCAATAGAATGAATTGATCCCAGGGAGAGAGAGATGACAGCCTTCAATACAATATTTCAAACCAAAAGAAATTAATCATCACAATGCAAAGTTACTCGCCCTTGTTCTGTTTCCAGCCTTGATGTAGCTCTTGGACTGAGGGTGTAGCTCTTGGACTGGCTGAAGGAGAGTCCAGATCACCACCAAGAAGATCCCTGCAGTGTCACAGCAACTGCGTATGGTAGTGTTTTCCCTGATCTTTCCCCCAGTAGATTTACTTGGGTAGCCATACACTGAGGAAAGTCATATGCATTCTGTTTTGGACTGGTGACCTTGAGGTGGACTTGAGCAGACATCTGCTGTCTTGGACATGTGTTAGTGTAGGGCCGAGAATTAGTCCCCTTTTCATTGCTGGGACAAAGTACTGGACATACACTGCCTAAAGGAGGAAGCATTTATTTTGGCTCACAGTTTCAGAGGTTGCAGTCCATGGTTTGCTAGCTGTAATTCAGAAACAGCATGGTGGAAGGGCCTGGCCCAAGAAAGCTGCTCAACCCCTGGGAATCAGAAATCAGAGAGAACAAGAGAGCCAGAAAGAGAGGAAGGGGCGGGGTGCAAGGAGGCGCCCTTCCAGGTCAGTCCCCGGTGACCACCTCCTCCAACCAGGCCCCGCCTTCTAAGAGCGCATTTAGCCTGAGCTCACCGATGGATGCGCCCATGATCCAATCACCTTCCGAAGTCCTCGGATCACACGGGACTTTCGCGGGCCATTTTAAATCCGAACTATAACAGGGCACGGGGAGGGTAGGTGGCTGTCTGGAGGACCGGAGATAAGGAGGTCTAAGGAGGAGGACGTGGCTCCATGAAGGGGAGCAGCACACAGCGCCAGGACCTTTGCATCACCTGTGAATGCACAGAGAAGAGCGAGCGAGCGCCACAGCAGGCGCAAGCGGGAGCAGGGCGCGCTGAGGACGGCATCACCTGACTGCGTCCGGACAGAAGTTAGGAGGCTGGACAAGGACGGGGCAGGGCTTGCCGGCCGCGTTCCCGCTGGCGCCCTCTGGTGGCAGAGTGCCGGGCACGAGGTTTCAGGTTAGCCAGGCAAGGACTTCCAGCCGCCGGGCTGTGTGGCCACCACTCGCAGCAGTGCCGCGCCTCGGCTCTGACTGCCCTGGCTCCCGGGCAGCTTCCTGCTCTCCCAGCTGAGGGGCCGGGCCGCGGGGCCTGGGCCGGGTCCCATCCAGGGCTAATGAGGAATGGGCCAGCCGGGGCGGGGCGCAGGCGGCTGCTCTCCGTGTCCTCTGGCTCAGGCAGAGCCGCTTCCTGGCCTTCACTGTTGTCTCTCGAGCGGCGGCCGTGGACTTGTCTGGGGCTCCGGGCAGCGCAGATGTGCAGACAGCGAGCGCCCTGGAGATACAGCGAGGGCGACTTCGGTGGACACAAAAGTGGTGCAGCTACTTTTGTGGTCCAAACAAACAGGAAGTAACCTAGCTCCTCTCCAGGACAGGGCTCTGCGTAGACCTGAGTGGACTGCGAATCCAGACCCAGGCCGGCTGCTGAAGAGCGCGTTTCGGTGGATGGCGTCCTGCGAGGCCC